TTACATATTAATTATATTGTATGTGAGATTTTAAGATAATTAATATGTATTTGATGAATAAAAAATAAATTTTATCTATAAATATTATAAATTTATTAAATTTAATACAGATAAAAAAATTAATGTAATATATTTATTATCATAAACATCAGCAACAAGAGGCATGTTGCTGAAAAGTGCAAACCACTCTCTCCCCTTAATTTTTACCAAGATAAGCCACATTGCTGAAACTAAGGTTTCAGCAACGTGACTTTGCTTGCTGAAAATGGATTGGAAGTGTGGGGAGGAAGCCATCCAATTTTTTACCAACGTGGAGCATGTTGGTAAAAGTATGCAATCAGCAACAAAGAATATATTGCTGAAAAGTATGGACCACCCAACCCTTGAACTTTTACCAACATAAACCACATTGCTGAAGGTAGGGTTTTAGCAACGTGGCTTTTCTTGTTGAAAATTCAATAAACTTCTGGTGACAAAGTCCGGGAAGATTTCTCCAAATTTTTAACAACATAAGGCACGTTGCTGAAACTCCATCTTTAGCAACGTGGCCTATGTTGCTGAAAGGGGTGACAAATTTCACCCCCACAAGTCACTGGATTCCGGTGAAAGTTTTAGCAACATGAGCCACATTGCTGAAACTCCATCTTTAGCAACGTGGCCTATGTTGCTGAAGAGGCTAAGAAATTTCACCCCCACCGATCACCGGATTCCGATGAAAGTTTTCAACAACAAGACGTATGTTGCTGATACTTTCTTTTCAGCAACATAGCTTATGTTGCTGATATATTAGCAACATGATTTTGGTTGTAATGTATTACCCACCAAGCTTTCTCCAACAAAACTTTTAGCAACCAAACCCATGTTGCTGAAGGACTTTCACCAACATGGAAAGCACTTTCAACAACATGGAGCATGTTGCTGAAGGTAAGGATTTTAGTAGTGTTACTTTCAATTGTGAAATTTATTCACAATTATTAAAAACAATTATTTTTATCTAAAAGTCATGATAAAAAAAATGGAGAAAAAAATAATTGATATTTTATATAAATATAATGTATAAGATTTATATGCAAATAAATCCCTTTTCTAAATACATATTTATATAATATTACACAAGATCCCAAATAAAAAAAAGGATCAATCACATAAAAACATATCCGGATGATAAGTTTACAATAATCTATGTCATTCTAAAATAAACATCCTATCAAGTGCATAGTCAAATAGTACTAGGTTTTGTAGGTCAATTGATGCACTCAACATCTTGAGTGATATTAAAATTTGGACTACGATAATATCATATAAATATCTAGTTTCTCCCTACTCCTAAATTGTAACTGTTCAAAAAAAAAAACGCATTGTCAAACAAAAACATTAAAAAAAAATTTGTATAATCAGACAAGGATTTATTTACTCTTAAAAAGATCAAAGAAAAAATAAAAAAAGTTGCTGCACACATGTGTGATTATTATTATTAGGGTGATGATATAGAGTTTTTTTTTTGTATTATTTTCTTATATAACTTTCACATATTATTAAATGAATTAATACACTTAATATCATGTATCTTAAATAACTAAGAAGAGCTAATCATTTAAATGACATGTAGGGTTGTATTAAAAGGTAGTGCAAAAATGTTATCCCTAAATTATATTTTTAGGTTAAATTACCAATTTGATCCCTCAATTTTTAGATTTGTATCAAATTTGTCCCTTAACTTCAAAAAATACCAAAATTATCCCTAACTATAATTTTTAGTACCAAAAAAGTCCTATTAAGAGAAATGTCACATAACTCCTTACCTTGCCACAAAATTAGTTCTTTTTTAAAAACTAATGACAAGTAAAATCACACAGTTATATTTTGCTATCATAATATATTTTCATTTACATATCAGATTTATATATAATCAAAGTTGAAAAATCAAATTGGCAATTATAATCAAAGTTCAAAAACTAAACAAGTACTTGTCTTCAAAGTTTAAAGACTAAATTAGTATTATCTTCAAAGTTTAAGGACTATTTTGAGATTGAAAATTAAAGTTCAAGGACAATTTTGTATAAATTTGAAAGTTAAATAACTAAATTGATATTTTAACCTTTTCCTTATTATTATTTTTGTACATAGGGGCAATGTATTCATACATTGATTAATCTAAAGACCCGAGGCTTACAAACACTTAAAAGATCTTCTGTTATCTTTTACCTCACTTCATTTAAAGGTTCTTCAAAATAATGTCAAATCATATCTAAATAGTAAAACTTTAAAGTTATAGTATCCAAACAGACACTATCTTCTCAAAAAATGTGTCGAAATTTCACATTGCCAATTCTTCTTAAGAAAAGCTCAACACTTGCTAATTAGATTTCCATATGGCTTAGGGCGAGCTGCATCGGTGTGATTATTGCTTCTTATATAAATTTTAGGTTTAAGTACCATTTTCGTCCCTCAACTTTTCACTTTGGTACCAAAATTGTCCCTCAGCTTTAAAAAGTACTAAAATTATCCTCAAACTTTCATTTTCGATACCAAAATGCTCCTTCCATCAGTTGAATGACAGGTGGCATGTTAAAATGCCAGCAAATCATTTTTTTTTTGCTTAACTCTAATGACATGGAAAAAAATATAATTGAATATGTTTTATTATGAGGTGGCATTTTTTTACAGTAGCATTTTTTTACAGTAGCATTTTTTTACACGTCAGATTATCATCTTTCTCTTTTTAATGGGACCCACATAAAAATTTATTTTCTCTTTTTCTAGTTTCAATCAAATTCCCCAAAAATCACAGTTTTCTTGGTTTCTCCTTTCATTTCCTTTTCAAATTAAAAACCCTAAAAACCAATCAGATCGTCCTTCTTATTCTTTCTCTCCAAAATCAAAATCAAAATCAGAGTCTCTCTTCTCCCTTCATCATTTCCAGATCTGGGTTTTCAAAATCAGAGTCTCTCTTCTCCCTTCATCCTTTCCAGATCAAACCCAGATCTGGGTTTTCTTACCTCTGCAAACCCAGGCTCTGGGTTTTCTCAAACCACCCCTTCACATTCATCATGCTCTTGACTCATCGGAGGCAACTCCGTCCACTCATCCACTCTCAGATCATAAACCCATCCGGTTCTCAACGCGTTCTTGTTCTCATCGTGCCCGCCTGCCACATAGACCCGACCCAAACAAGCCCCGGCTGCGGAAAAACGACCGCTTTGACGGCATCTCCTTCCCCTGTCTCCACCGCTACGTCGTAAAATCATAGACGAAAACATCCCTAATCAGGTCGTAACTCACCGGGTCCCACCCACCCATGACCACCAATTTCCCTCCACAGCTCGCCAATTAACAGAACAAAGGCAACCCATTTGGGTGACTGGGTACCGGGTCAAGTCGCTCCCACGACTGACTCACAGAATCAAACACAGTAACCACATAACCCGGTAAGTCACCTGGTTTTTGCCCATCAACGACTCCAGCAGCAACAGCAGTAAAAGCTTGAACCAAGCAAGCAACTTTATGAGTATACCCATACCTCTTCCTGTGATAATAAAAATCCTGACTTTGAAGTAAATCCCGCCATCGCCGGCTAACACCGGAAGCCACACGGTGAACGCCAGTGTAAGGTAAGCGAATCAGGCACTCCAGATCGAGTTCCGGAGGTAAACCCGGGACTAACTCAACTAACTCGGAAGTCTGCAAACCCAGGCTCCGGGTTTGAAAACCCAGATCTGGAAAGGATAAAGGGAGAAGAGAGACTCTGATTTTGATTTTGATTTTGGAGAGAAAGAATAAGAAGGATGATCTTATTGGTTTTTAGGGTTTTTAATTTGAAAAGGAAATGAAAGGAGAAACAAAGAAAACTGTGATTTTTGGGGAATTTGATTGAAACTGGAAAAAGAGAAAATAAATTTTTATGTGGGTCCCATTAAAAGGAGAAAGATAATAATATGACGTGTAAAAAACTGCCACCGTAAAAAAATGCCACCTCATAATAAAACATATTCAATTATATTTTTTTTCCATGTCATTAGAGTTAAGCAAAAAAAAAAAAATTTGCTGGCATTTTAATGTGCCACCTGTCATTTAACTAATGGAATGACCATTCTGGTACCGAAAATGAAAGTTTGAGGATAATTTTGATACTTTTTAAAGTTGAAGGACAATTTTAGTACCAAAATGAAAAGTTGAGGACCAAAATGGTACTTAAACCTAAATTTTACAATCACACAAATTTAGTCTCTTTTTTCTTAAAGTGGTGGTATAGGAACAAATTTTTTATACTATCTTTTTAACAACTTTTACATGTCATTAACTAAATAGATACATTTAATATTACGAATCTTAAATGAATAAAAATAATCAATAATTTAAATGACACGTAAGATTGTATAAAAAAATGAGACAAAAAAGTAATATAAAAAAATTATCTCTAGATCATTTTCCTTTTTCTTAAATAGTTTCTACATCTATTATTTTGTAAATTAATTTAATTTATTAATTAATAAATATTAATTATTTTATTAATTGTAAATTAATTTTTTTTACTAACCCGATGTATCCAGAAGCTATGGACTTGATTAATACACTCGATTAATTTAAAATCAAATCATGCTAGATTACAAAAGAAAAAATTCTCTCAATATCTTATCTTTATTTATAAAATTCAAACTCAAGACATTACTTTAAAAAAATCAAGTTATTTATACTCAAACCAACATATCGTTAATATTAATATTAATTAATAATTATACTATGATTATTAATTATTTTTAATATTAAATTAAATAAAATTAATATTTTTAATAACAATATTAAAAAAATTGTATAACCATAACAATAGAACATGCCCGCCGCACATGTTTTACAAATGGAAGAATTACGGCCTAAGTCAGCCAAATCTTCCATTTCAAAAGTCAAAACAACTTATACGTTAAGGTATTTCTTTTTCTTTTTCTTTTTTTTTTTCTTTTTTTATAAAATACTTATACATTAAGTAAAGGCAAAGCAGTTGAGCAACTTGAGCTACACATGAAACTGCTCCAGTTGAACATCTTTGGGTTTGAGAGGAACGTAATCCCCAAGATACACCTCCAGATGATCCGCCAGCACCGATTTGTCAATGTTCTCGTGGTGATACGATTTGCAAACGAAGTAAATTACCGTCTGCACCACTAGCCCGAACAGAATCACTTTGAACAGCAGCAAGAAACAGATGATTCCGATTGCGATCCTGATCTCGATCCCTACCGACCACGCTAGAACCACCCCGCTCTCGAACATAATTTGAATCCCTAAGAAACAGGTACACAGGAGGAGAAACATGCCAACCGCGACAAAAATTTTTCCCTTAATCAGAGCTTTGCTCTTCACCATGGCCTTGATCCCGTACGAATCTTCTAAAACCGAGATCACGCTCGCTAGATGCCAGACGAGCGTGATGTACACGAATCCCGTGAAATACGCGATCAGGAGAATCACGAAAATTGAAATCCCGATCGGGCTAAAGCCGAGGGATATGGCCCAAGCCAAAAACAGAATTCCGGAGAGAACATTGTAGAGGATAACGACAGCGAAACTCCACATGAAAGTGACCATGAGTCGCTTCCACACCTTAGGCACCACGCTCATGACTTTCTTGAAACTGATTTCCTTGGCGGTGTAGATGCACGCGACCGTGTACACAACGGCGGAGGTGGAGAGGAGAGAGAGGATGAGGAAGAAAGTGAAATACGCTGCTTTGAAGAGCCAGAAGGCAGTCCACTCGGAGGAGATCATGTCAGAGAGCTTGTCATATCGAGGACTGCCGACGGCGGTGTGGTCAAGGGCGTCTTCGTCGTTGATGACGTCGATGAAGAGGAGCTGAGAGATCTGGAAGTGAGCAAGGAAGATGAAAGAGAGAGGGACGATTAAGGCTAGAGTTATTTGGCTGAAGATTTTTCTCCATGAGAAGATGATCTTCAAGGATTCTTTCAGTATGCCGAAGAAGCCTAGAAATTGGAGCTCTTCCTGCTCGCTGTTCATTCTCAAGAGATAATGATTACCAATGGAGAGGACGTAATATAATTAGATAATATTGGTAAAGCGGAGTTGACTTGTGATAAGACAAAAATGCCCTTCTTCTCTCCAGTACTAAACTACTAATTAGACTTTTGATGGCTTCATTAATATGGAATTTTATAATTCGTTACATTTAAGTTAAGTTAAGAATGTAATTAATATGTATTTCACCCATGAAGCCATCGTAGTCACCCTTTTTATTTAAAAGCAAGTGAGGGCAGCCCTGATGATCTTCAGGTCGAGTCTCAAGCTCGACGTTTTTTCGTTCTTTTAGTGCAGATATTAATATTATCAAGTAATTTTTATTTTTAAATAAAAAAATATAATTAATATATTTTTTATAATTAATTTTTATTAAAAATATAAATTTTAATTTTAATTTAATTAATTAATTAATTAAAATTAATTACAATCAATAATCTTAAAATTAATGTTAATTTTTATAATTTTTTATATAAATTAATTATAAAAAATATATTTATTACACTATTAATCTTATAATTTAAGTATACAGTTTAGATAAACCTATTAAAATTCATGAAAGTACCATTTTAGCCAAATGGCGACCTGTGAAATTGAAAGAGATGTGGAAAATATGGAATTGGTAAGTGGTTTACATCATCATTAATACATGACAATGAAATAAACCAACAATTTCTAAGGAAATTTAACAATCGAATTAGTGATTGGTAGAAATTTCTAATTAAATAACGATCAAGATACTTAGCTATTAAGTTTTGGAAAATGATTTAAGACATTTTTTAATATATTTTTTAATACAATTTTATGTATCATTTAAAAAATTAATTTTTGTTAAGGTGCAGGTGATGCAGGTTGATAAGTTGGCAGCGATGATGACATGAGAGCCAACTAGGATGCCACTTGCGAAGATGAGGAAGGTCCTTTTGGTTGGCACCCGTTTCGCATGCAAAAGGGTACATGCCATGAGCCATCTCACCTTGTTCAACAATGATGGTCCGCCACAAATTCTCCAACAAAGTCCAAAAGTGCAAATTTTCCAACCAAGCCGAGAGGGCTAGGCAACAATGACAAGATCTCAAAAGCTAGGAATGATTACACAAAACACTTAAAATTTATGAAAAGGAGATGTATATTATGGTAGAAGTAACAAGAATAGAAAATATATAAAAATTAAATATTACAACTTGAGAAGCACATTTATACATAATATATTGTAGCATTATGGTAAACACAATGAATGTGCCCTCTACTATCCTTGACAAATACTTCTACTCTGTAACAACTAACCCTCATGTTGTGGATGAAAAGCACAATAATCTCCTTCAAGCTTTAACAAGACAAAAAGAATAAACTTGAAAATAATGATAGGAGAAGGAAGGATGACCATCATGAGGGCTCATAAATGGAGGACTTGATCTCGTTATTGATGCTAATGCTGCACTTGATCCTCTGATGTTCAAGAAAATATCCTAGAATCTAAAACTGTAGCATGTTGTCTTCTAGCCATGATGCTCTACAAGTTTGGAGAGTATTCTACAATACTAGAAGTGTAGAAAATATGAGAAAAATAGGGAATTTTGGGGATTTTTTATTTATGAGGGCAAGCGGTTGAAGATGAAGAGTTTTTCAAGGGAAAAATGGAGTATGGTGAGTGAAGGAGAGGAGCTAGATCTATGAAATCTACTTAATGTGTTAAAAAAATGAAGGAAAAATTAAAATATATATGCAATGGTATTTTTGTAATTTTGAGTTGGTGGGGTCAGAGTTGCCCAATGAACCACAAGTATATTTGGGGTAGGTGAGGACAACTGTCGAGTTTTAAGTGGTTCTGTGTACTACTAACAACTTTTTAAAGTGAAATAATGAATTGTCCAGTGATTCCAACAAATGACTGCTAATTTACTGAGACTATCCATTTTTGGTAATTCTTTGTCCATACAAAATACTATTTTTGGAGGGGTACTTGAGCAAAACCGACAAAATTAGTTTTGCCTAGGATTTTGGTGATTTTCCCAAGCAAAATATAATCTTTTTCAACAGTTTCTAATGCAATGAAACTTGTGCAGCCACCTTTGCATTAAATATAGCTACAACTTGCTGATGGAGACTGAAATAACATCTTTGGTTGATTTTTAACAAGATTCCAAGTTTTCTAGTTAGCATCAAATGGTACAATTTGGGGATCAAGCTTTGCCTCCACATCTTTGCCACCCAGCCCTTCCTGGCGAAGTTGTGCAACATCACCAGCTCCAAGCTTGGCTAGCATAAATACCTACCTTCACCAAACAGGCAACGCTCATTCATCCATGTCTGCTAAGCCACTACTCCTATAGTTTATCCCAAGTAATTCCAATGAGTTGGGATTCATAAGTTTGTGTTTATCTACAGCAAAAAGCAAAATATGAATAAGTACTTGTTCAAATGTATAAGTGTGAAATGTTTAACTATGTGCAACAAAGAAGACTAGCCCTTGTCTATCGAAGAAGATGGTGAGAATGAATACTGTTGTGCCCTTTTATCCACTAGCCATGGCAAGCACTCGTATAACACTGTTGTGTATGTCTAGCATTATGCCAAAATAAAGAATAAGTACTATGGATGTGTGCCATGGTATCATTTTGCCAAACCAAGCATCACTAGTCGATGATACCTGTCAACATGTGAAAATATATAGAAGAAATATGTTGTGAATCGAGATTACCAGTGACCAATAATTTTGTTCCTCTATATAGAAGAATAATGATGTGCATGACCACTAGTCATGTTGTATGAATATCACAAGGTTAGCCATGAATAGACTCCCTACAGCTAGAGAGAGAGCAGTGGCTAATTTTGCCCATGGCTGAATCGTGAACTATGTGGAATCGAAGGAGCATTCCCACTAATCTGCCAAGTTGGAAAGGAGATAAATCTCATTAAGCTAAACTTCACCATAACAATGAATATGTGATAAAGACGAGTGGAGTTGTCTTCATAGAAGAGGGACACCAGCCGCATCCATGGCCTTCAATATGATAAGGTGTGATACCATTGACAAATGCTGGCCTTTCTTGTCGTACCAACACCATTAAAGGGTGGTCCTGGTTGTAGTTGCCCACCAAGCACCACACCACCATGCACGAGCAACCACTAAGGGGCTGCCAGCCCCAACTTGATGAATTTTTATTGCCGAAGGGTAACCATCCCAACCAATTGAAAGGTTGCAACTGTTACCGGCCTCACGCTAATCATACCAAGTTGTGCTAACTCTTTGTCCATTTCCGAGAGCTAGTGAGATAAAATATGTAGAGATTCGACCCTTTGTCCGTTTCCAAGAGCCAATGTAATGAAGATATGTAGAAATGTGTAGCCTTTTACCCATTTTTGGAGGTTAAATGACAGAAAATTTGGCCCTTCATCCATTGCTGGGAGCTATGTAGATTTAATAGAATCAACTCATTTTCCATTGATGGGAGCCATGTATGTATAGGAAAGTAGGCTCTTTGTACATTGTTGAGAGCCAAAAAAGATGTAGTAGTGAATGCTATAGTAGAGATCATGACTATGAAAAACAGTCAACCATGTCATAGAGATAGATATAACCATGTCATAGAGATAGATATAACCATGTCTAGCCATGTATATGAGAGTGATATTGAAGTAGATCATGTCTGCAATGTTTCCAATGAAGTGGATGAATGCCACTTCTAGCGATGCTGACTCTATTACAATAATCAACAAGATATAACAAATCTGATGTGGAAATAAACCAGGTGGACCCTCCTTAATCACAAGTTCAAAACTGGTCTTACTAATGTGGCGCTATACATGCCAATTTCAAAGCAATACAAATTCATTCCTCAACAATTTTTTTTATTTATTTGAGATTTATAAAATTAAGTATATCCACTCATTTAATAATATGTAAAAATTGTCCTTATATCACTATCCTTAAGTTTTCAATTTTTATCTAAAATGATTGATAATTTTATAAAAATGTACAAGTTTCAGTGTTTTACACACCATATCCATATAAAATTTTGATCATTCATTTTTTTTCATTTTCAATGGTTGAGATTTATTTATTTTTATCATATTTGTTATAATTATCCTTTTTGTCTAAAAAATCATGATAAATCTCAACTATTAAAAGTAAAAAAATAAATAACCAAAATTTTATATAAATATAATATATAAAACTTGTAGATAAATAACCCTCACTCATTTTATAAATGTATTATAACACAACTAATAAGAGTGTTTTTTTTAATTTATTTTCCAACAAATAGGATATTATAGTAATATAGAATCAAAGTAGCCTTACATAACATATTGTCCTAGGTAAACAAAATAATAATAATAATAATAATAATAACAACACGATAAGAAAAGAATGTGAACTTAAATAGATTAAAGGAAAGGAAAACAAATGAAAAGAGCTGCCCAAGTTCATCACCAACTCATAGAAGACAAAGGCATGCACATCTCAGCATGAGAAGCTTCTCTATAACTTGTAGTCTAGTTTGTTCTCCAAGATAGTTCATAAAAGCTCCGAGGATAAAAAACAAGAATTACTATTGATAAGGAAGATATCCTTCAACTTATATAAATCCTTATCCCATGAAAACAAAACCGAAGCATTAATATTCATAAAGGCATCTTGGATACCTAGCACCTTGATAATGGCATGAAGGAAAGGGCTTGGACCTAATGAATAACACCTACTCGCTTGAAACACCATCCACAGATGTCCACTACAACAACTATTTTTGTCTTTTAAAGTTTGATAAAAGAAGATGATAGAAAACAAAGACCATAGATATAACTGAAATCTACAAGGATAGGAAGGTGGCTAGTCAGATCTCTAACCTTGGCTCACTTTCTTTCTAACTTCATGGCTCCTGTATGGCTTAGGGGCAACCACTACCTTTATGTTTAGCCTCAAGATGATGACCAAACCTAAATATCCCAATAGAGGCAATTGGCATAGCTGCTAATAGTCTTATATCCATCACCAAATCTATTATAAACCTCTTCCTTCCACTTAACCTATTCACAGATACCCTACATACCTTTTAGTAACAGATCAAGTTCAAAGCACCATACCACCGCACCAGGCAAAATTGTTATTAA